TGCTGGTTTGGAGTTCTTGAACGATTTATGAGGCCCATGAGTCCCAGAACACATTTCGGAGGAATCGCTTAAAACTCATCGTTTTCATGTTTTCTGGACGCTTTCAAAAGCTATTGCCCACTGTTTTCAGGTTCTAGGATGATTTACAAGACCCGTGTGTCCCTCTACACGTTCCAGATGACTCGCTCAAAACTCGCCGCTTTCCCATTTTCTGGCCATTTTAATGAGCTATTGCCCGCTATTTTGGGGTTCTTGAACGATTTACAAGGCTTGTGAGTATGCGTAAATGTTTGAGAGGCGTACCAAAAAATCATTGTTTTCATATTTTTTTGGTCGTTTTCATGAGCAGTTTTGGGGTTCCGAGGCGATTCACATGGCCTGTGAGAGTAGGTACATGTTAGAGAGGAATCGCTGAAAACTCTTCGTTTCATAGGCTATTGCCCACTGTTTTCGGGTTCTGGGACGGTTTACAAGGCCCACAAGTCCCTCTACATGTTCGAGAGGCGTACCAAACACGTTCGAGAGGACTCACTCAAGACTCATCATTTTTTGGCATTTTCAAATGTGTACCGGGACTCATCTGGCCATTTTCATGTTTTCTGGCCATTTTCACGAGCTATTGCCCATAGTTTTGGATTCCAGGGCGATTTACAAGGCCCATGAGTGTCGGTACATGTTAGAGAGGAATTGCTAAAAACTCGTTGTTTTCACATTTTCTGGCCGTTATCATAAGCTATTGCCCACTGTTTTTGGGTTCTGTGAATTTACATGGCTCATGAGTCCCTATACACGTTCAAGCGGTGTACCAAACATGTTCGAGAGGACTCTCTCAAAACTAGTCGTTTTCACGTTTTCTGGCCGTTTTCATGAGCTATTGCCCGCCTTTTGGGGGTTCGTGAAGAAGGCCTGTGAGTCCCAGAATATGTTTGAGAGGTGTAGCAAAACTCATCATTTTCAAGTTTTCCGGTCGTTTTCATTAGCCATTGCCTACAGTTTTAGGGTTCTGAGGGGATTTACAATGCATGTGAGTGCCGAGACACGTTAGAGAGGTATGGCTAAAAACTCGTCGTTTTCACATTTTCTGGCCATTTTCATAAGTTATTGGCCACTGTTTTCGGGTTCTGGGATGATTTACAAGGCCCATGAGTCCCTATGCATATTCGAGAGGCGTACCAAACACGTTCTAGAGGACTTGCTCAAAACTCATCTTTTTCTGGCAGATTTCCTGAGCTATTGCTCACTGTTTTGGGGTTCCCGGATGTTTTACAAGGTCCATGAATCCCAGTACACATTTGAAAGGCGGACCAAAAACTTGTCGTTTTCATCCTTTCTAGCTGTTTTCATGAGCTATTGCCCATAGTTTTGGGGTTCTGGAGTGATTTACAAGGCCCTTGAGGGACGGTACGCATTAGAGAGGAATAGCTAAAAACTCGTCGTTTTCACGTTTTCTCACCGTTTTCATGAGCCGTTGCTCATAGTTTTGGGGTTCCTAGGCGATTTACATGGCCCGTGAGTGTCGGTACACGTTCGAGAGGAATCGCTAAAAACTCGACATTTTCACATTTTCTGGCTGTTATCGTAAGCTACTACCCACTGTTTTTGGGTTCTGGGACGATTTACGTGGCCAGTGAGTCCCAGTACATGTTTGAGTGGTGTACGAAAAACTCATCATTTTCATGTTTTCTGGATGTTTTCATGAGCCATTGTCCATAGTTTTGAATTCTCAGGGCGATTTACCATGCCCGTGAGTGCCGGTAAACGTTAGAGAGAAATCCCTAAAAACTCGTCGCTTTCATGTTTTCTGGCCGTTTTAAAAGTTATTGCCTAGTTTTTTGTGTTTTGGGACGATTTACAAGGCTCATGAGTCCCTATACTTGTCATGAGCTATTGCCCGCTGTTTTGGGGTTCTTGAATAATTTACAAGGCCCATGAGTCCCCATACATGTTTGAGAGATGTACCAAAAACTTGTCGTTTTCATGTTTTATGGACGTTTTCATGAGCCATTGCCCACAGTTTTGGGCTTCCGCGGCGATTTACAACGCCCGTGAGTGCCGATACACATTCGAGATGACTCACTAAAAACTCGTCGTTTTCGCGTTACCTAGCCGTTTTCATGAGCTATTGCCCGCTGTTTTGGGGTTCTTGAACGCTTTACAAGGCCCGTGAGTCCCGGTACACGTTTGAGAGGCGTACCAAAAAAATCGTCGTTTTCAAGTTTTCTGGCCGTTTTCATGAGCTATTGCCCACAATTTTGGGGCTCCTGGGCAATTTACAAGGCCCATGAGTTCCGGTACATGTTATAGAGGAATAGTACACCACCGAGTTGTGAAATGTATGTCAGGAGCTCAACGCCAGCGACGCCATGGTGGGGGTGGACGGCTGCCGTGATGCGCTTCCTCTTCATGCGCCCGGGGAAGGTTTTCATCCAGGTGGTGCCAATCGGCACGGACTGGGTCGCCGGCGCCTACTACGACGAGCCCGTGACACAGCTAGGCCTTCGGTACATCGGCTACATGATCCTCCTGGAGGAGAGCTCGCTCTCCGCGAGTACCCCACCGGCGACCCCGTGTTGACGGACCCGTCGCCATCGCGCAACGCGGATGGGACGTGACCAAGAAGGTGTACCTGGACCAGCAGAACGTCCGACTGGACCTAGCCCGATTCAGGGAGGAGCTCGTCAGGGCTCACCAGTACCTGGCCGCCGACAGGCGGCGGTGGCGGCCAAGAGCAACCGTGTGATTAACCAGGAAGTTTATATTTTTTTAGTAAGTTATTTTATTACATACCTCTATATATTTATTGTGTGTCCACACAAATATTTGTGTACCATGAGGTTATTATTTATGTACCACAAATATTTATAACCCACAGGATGACATGGTGCCTGATTTTTTCTAAATACATGCACACGAATATTTTTATATCATGAGGTAACACACAGATATTTGTATATCATGAGGTAATTATTAAGAACACACAAATATTTGAATCTAAGTTTTATTATAACGATTATGATTTGCAGACTTTTAACAATTTTTTAAAGTTAAGATGTACTGAATGGGCACTGGATGCAACCCATTTAAGCACCAAAAGCCAGTCTATTATAGATAAAGTTAGAGGAACCGTGGTTGGCATGGAATCCTCTTCGATGTAGCGGTCAGCGCGTACTTCCTCAGATAGCTGGTCGCAGGTTCTACTCTACTTGAGCAGAATTTTTAGTGTCGAAAAGTTCAGTCGGAAGAACAAGGCACGAGCCGCCAGTGGGCGGCCTGTCAGCCTCGTCCCTCGAGGTCGTGGAGGAGGAACCGAGTGAGGAGTAGGGAGCGCGGTTCCTATATGGCACGTAGGTCGTCGCGTAGCACTGTAGCACATAACCCCCTGCGTCTTTTCTTTCATTATCGGGCCGGCCCAGTTCGCTTCCGTTCCTCTGGTTTTGCCATTTTTTATTTTTCTATACTGTTTTTTTTTCATTTTTCTGTTCTTTCCAATTTTTTATTTCGTTTTTCTTTTCCCTTTTTTTCTTTCCCTTTTTTCTAATTTCTTCTTCTTCACTTTTTGACTAGTTTTGGCATTTTTTTTATTTTGAATTCGTTAACAACTTTTTTTGTTCATCAAATTCAAAAAGTGTTCAACCATGCAAAAAAATGTTCAACAAGCCAAAAAATGTTCATAAAAATTCAAAAGTTGTTCATCAAACTAAAAAATGTTCATCCTTTTCATTTTTTTCATTGAATTTTTTGTTCACCAGATTCAAAAAATGTTCATCACATTCAAAATTTCTTCACTGAATTACAAATTTGCTCATCATTTTTTTAAAAAAATGTTCATAGAATGCAAATTTTGTTCATAATTTTTTCCATTTTTTTTCTCTAACACAAATTTTGTTCTTCAAATTAAGAAAAAATTATCAAATGCCAAATTTATTCATCGATGTTCAAAATATGTTCATCAAATTCAAAAATTGTTCATTCCTTTGGAATCATGACCATTTTTTAACAAATTCGTGAACATTTTTTGAATTCACGAACTTTTTTCCAAACCATGAACATTATCTTAAATTCAAGATAACTTTTTTTGTAATCGTGAACATTTTTTGCAAATTCGTGAACATTTAGCGAATGCATGAACTTTTTTTTTGAAATCATGAACATTTTTTTATTTCGTGAACATTTTTTGCAAATTCGTGAACATTTCGCAAATGCATGAACATTTTTTGAAATCATGACCATTTTTTAAATTCGTGAACATTTTTTTAAATTGGTGAACTTTTTTTTTGCAAATTCATGAACATTTTTTGAATTCACGAGCATCTTTTTGAAATAATAATTTTTTTTCAAGATCATGATTGTTTTTTTCAAGATTAGCAACTTTTAGTAAAATTTAGAAGCTATTGGTATCCTGAATTATTAAAAAAGAAAAAGACGAAAAAATCTGGCGGCGTGCTGGCCATACATGGGCCGGCCCAGAAGGGTGGGGGGTGTGCGCCCGCTGCCTTCTCAGTCACTCGTCCGCCTGCGGTGGAGTTTTCAGTCACTTGTAGAAAAGGGATGGCTTCGGGCGCACGCGCACTTGCCCTGTGGGCGGGCTGTGGTGGGTTAGGAACTTTGGGATCCAAGTCAATGGTGATGATATGTTCAGTTGTGGGCTGTGTGCAGTGTGCAAAAGTTGGCATGTTTCCTAACACTTTAGGTTAGTCTCGGAGATGGAATTGAAGAGCATCCTATCCTGGTCTTTTTGAATCCAATCCCTGACGTACTACACAATAATCCATGCTCAGGGTATTAAACACAGAAGATGCTCAGGGTTGTCCATACAAGTGACAGTAGCTCCATTACAACTGAGTTCAGACGCAACATTGTATCTAATGGACCAACACGACTACACGAGACTACACTCTTATGTCACCAAACCGATCTACCCAGCTTCCATAACAAGAACTCTTCAAGTTGGATAGATTAATCAATCACAGTTTAGCAAACATGTGAGATCAGGAACACCATTACATCAGATAATGTGCGCGGCCATAATATCTGTTGATGTGCCTCGACTGCAGACAATAGTAAATACCAAGTTAAATCTAGTGTTGCAGGTTCAGATACATTCAAGTAATGGGCACTCGAGAACAACTTCATACCTTCATATTGTTAACATCAGGTGTATCCGGGGTTTTCACAGGATAGAATTTGTAAAGTTTCATGTTTTCAAATGCCTCTCTTTGCTTAGGGTCCATATCTTCAATAGCTTTCTTCCTGGCTTCTTCAGCCTGCACAAGTTTTGGGGAATATTGGATACTGTAAAGCGTCAAATCTCTTGGAAAATAATTAAATATTTCAGTTAAATGGACCTGTTCCAGTTCTATTTTCCCTTGTTTAACCTTCTCCTTTAGAAATTCCTGTCAAAGAAACGTGGCAGCAAAATTAGGAAGGGGGTTACTGCTGTAAAATAATGCTAACTTTAGAGTGTATAATTGATCAAGAAGAGTTTAGTGACCTCAATTTTTTCCCTCTCATCCTCTGGCAACCCCTCATCTTCGACTAGCTTATGAGCTAAAACCTGCATTGCAACATGATATGATTCAACATGGATGTCCTTTCATAGGTAGCATTGTACATCAGAGTAGAACAACTGAAATTCCTTACAAACCTTGTAATCATCCCATTCCAAGTCAAAATCACAAACTATCTGCAACAAGCAGCACAAGGTAAACATTAATGTATGAACAATTTACAGCTACTTGAAACCAGACCTGGAGACTTAATTAGGATGCACGAGTGCACTTCTGTGAATAGTATTTGAAATAGAAATACAATAACTGCAAAGTGGAAAGCAGGCTAAGAAGATTATATTGTTGTTTTATTATCAACAGAAGGAAACCTCAAACAACCCACCCATCCACTTGGGTTTTGCACCATCAAATTGTGACAGGAACAACTTAGGTCAAGCATCCAACATACTACAAAACAGGAGACAGCATTTAAGACAAAACGGAAGCAATGCGCATGATCAGATACCAGCAATGGAAGATGAGGAGAGGTCCCCACAGCACGAGATTGCCTTATGTAGCAACAGCAATGGCAGCATGTCACCAGTACCGGACAAAAAACATGATGTCATCGACTGATGATCACGTCGCAGACTAAAGCAGACTAGATCACAGCAATAATACGCTTAAAGGAAGCTTACCAGGGGTTCTAGAGGATATATGACGCGGACAACCATGCCATCTTCATCTTCAGGAGGATTTAGTGGCATGTCTGCAAGATATTAAACAAGGTTCATATGCCGATGAGATTACCCTACAGAGAATGATATCATTAAAACAACTAATGCCATATAAATTTAAATCGAGTTATCAACTAGTAGAACAGCTCTAGGATATGGGCGCGTATCTGAGAGTGGACTGTGTCAAACAGGATTCAGTGAGTGTTGGGTCATTTTGAGTACTTAGCAATCTTTTCGTGCTTATGATGTCTTAGAATGTGATTGACAATTCCATCCTGGCAGTTCTTAGGCACTAGGCGCAACCCTGCCACATAGCATTACCTGCTGCCTAGGTTTCTGCGTTGCTAGACAGTAATAAGTACTAGGCACCACCTCGCTGCCTACTGAGTACTTCTGAAAATAGCATGACCTGAAAATCTGCACGCTCTAGAGATGCTAACCGTCAAGGTGTGAAAAGCACTAAAGGCCAAGCAAATATGCACTAAAGTGCAAAAAATGAAAAGAAGAAATGTACCCCTTGTTGGATAATGAGCAACTATCATTTCCTGAGGGCCAAAGGCCATTACATATACATGTGTGTCAAAGTGCAGAAAACCCCTTATACAACGGGGATATACCGAAAAGGGACTATACACATCTAACACCCCCCCTCAAACTCATCGTGGATCAACAACACTGAGTTTGGAGAGGAAAAAGGTATGCTGCGCTCGAGTCTGTGCCTTCGTGAAGAAGTCAGCCAACTGTAACTCCGAGGGCACATAGTGAAGGGCGAGAGTCTGATCCTGCACAGCAGCACGCACAAAGTGGGCATCCACACCGATGTGCTTGGTGAGCTCATGCGTCACCGGGTCACGCGCAATACTGATAGCACCAGTACTGTCTGACAGTAAGGGAGTCGAGGTAGTAGCCATGACACCAAAATCCTCAAGTAACCATCGCAACCAGATCACCTCAGCCGTCAACATAGCCATGGCTCGCAACTCAGCCTCTGTACTCGAGCGAGAAACTGCAGTCTGTTTCTTTGTCTTCCAGGCAATCAGAGAGCCACCAAGAAAGACACAGTAAGCAGACAGCGAGCGTCGATCAGAGGGATCACTAGCCCAGGTAGCATCAGAGTAAGCCTGGAGCTCAAGAGAACTGGAGCGAGGAAAGAAAAGGCGCTGAGAGATCGTGGCACGAAGATATCGTAGAACACAGAGGAGGTGACTATAGTGGACAGAGGTGGGGGCTGAAACAAACTGACTCAGGATGTGAACGGAATAGGAGATGTCAGGACGTGTAACAGCAAGATAGACAAGGCTACCGACGAGGTGACAATAGCGAGTGGGATTAGGAAGAGGGTCACCATCGGAGGCACGAAGCTGAACGTTGAGCTCCATAGGAGTCACAACAGTGCGGTCATCACTGAGAGCAGCTCGAGCAAGAAGATCCTGAATGTATTTCTCTTGAGAGATGTAGAAGCCATCAGAGGTGGAGGAGATCTCAATCCCAAGAAAATAGCGAAGAGGACCAAGATCAGTCATAAGGAACTGCTCGTGAAGGCGGGCCTTAACAAAGGCAATGTAATCAGTGTCGTCACCAGTGATGATCATGTCATCAACATAGAGAAGGAGAAGAGTCCGACCACGAGGAGACGTGTGAATAAACAGCGCGGGATCATGGTCACTGGGCAAGAAACCAGCCGCGGTCACCACAGATGCGAAGCGCTCAAACCAGGCGCGAGGGGCCTGTTTGAGACCATATAGAGAGCGGCGAAGTCTACAGACCATACCATCAGGAGCATAGTACCCTTGTGGTGGCTGCATATAAACCTCCTCACGCAACTCGCCATTGAGAAAAGCGTTCTGAACATCAAGTTGAGAGATAGACCACTGACGAACAGAAGCCACAGCAAGAAGAGTGCGGACAGTGGTCATGTGAGCCACAGGAGCGAAAGTCTCATCATAATCGCGCCCCTGCTCCTGCTGAAAACCACGGGCCACAAGACGAGCTTTGTAGCGCTCAAGAGAACCATCGGAGCGAGTCTTAAGCTTGTAGACCCACTTGCAGGTGATGGGACGAACACCGGAAGGGAGGGGAACGAGATCCCATGTGCCAGAGCGCTCAAGGGCAGCAAGCTTCTCGGCCATTGCAAGCTGCCATTCAGGCTGAGTCATGGCAGTGCGATAGGAAGTGGGCTTAGGCAAGACAGAGAGACCGTACCGATCAGGGGAGTACCGATCAGGCGGAGGGCGAGGCCGAGCACGGAGGTTATGAACCGGAGGGGGTGTGGGAGGAGGTGCACCCGAGGTGGAAGGCTCGTCAGAGGCAATATCCTCAGTACGGGAACGTCGAGTATAGTGGAGAGGAAACGGTGAGAGAGGGCGACGGACTGGAGAGGATGGGGGAGAGGTGGACGAGGGAGAAGACGGGGTCGGAGGTGAATGAGAAGGAAGGAGAGGTGCCGTAGGAGGAGGTGACACATGAGGCACATAGCAGGGTGTATCGGGAAGAAGAAGGAAAGAAAGGTCGTCCACAGAGAAGCTCGAGGAAGAAGAACGTGGGTAGTAAGAGCGAGACTCATCAAAAGTCACATCACGCGAGATGCGCAAGCGACGACCCACTGGATCCCAACAACGATAGCCCTTGTGCTCATCACTGTAGCCAAGGAAAACACACTCGACCGACTGAGCAGTCAGTTTGGTGCGTTCGCGGGGGGCAAGAAGAACATAGCAGACGCATCCAAACATACGAAGAGCTGAGTAGTCAGGAGAGCGACCGGTGAGACACTACATAGGAATGCCACCCTGCAGAGCAGTCGATGGCTGAATGTTGATGAGATAGGTGGATTCGGAAACAGCCTCAGCCCAAAAATGGGGTGGAAGGGAAGCAGCAATCATCAGCGCACGAGCCGTCTCAAGCAAATGACGATGCTTTCGCTCGGCAACACCATTCTGAGCATGAGCACCCGGACAGGAGAACTGGGCAAGAGTACCCTGTTCCGCGAGAAAACCACGCAACAGCTAAGAGATATACTCTCCAGCGGAGTCAGCACAAAAAGTACGAATGGGCGTGGCAAACTGGGTGTGAACCATGGCAGCAAAACGTTTGTATATAGGGAGAACCTCGCTACGAGATTTCATAAAGTAGAGCCAAGTGTAGCGAGAGAAATCATCAATAAACAAAACATAGTAGCGATGACCACCTTTCGAATCAAAGGGAGCAGGACCCCAGACATCAGAATGAACTAAGTCAAAAGGACGCTGAGATACAGACTCACTAGTAGGATAAGGTAACTGAGTCTGTTTGCCAAGTCTGCAGCCATTACAATGTAAGGAGACATCTCCAGATACAGACCCTAAGAGGCCCTGACGAACTAAGGAAGACAAGCGAGAGCCACAGATGTGACCAAGGCGATGATGCCACTGCTGGAAGGACGCAGATGAAGAGGCGGCAAAAGCATGAGAGCTGGCATTAGTGGTGGCAGCGGAAGGAACACAAAGCCAGTCAACCTCCCAAAGGCCCTCTGACTCACGGCGTCGGGGGCCAGCACCAACCAAAACCTTGGTGCGACGATCCTGAACGGAGCAAGAGTCGGTATCAAGAATGACACGACAACCAGAATCGGTAAGTTGGGCAGCGGAAAAAAGATTCATGGTAAGGCGAGGAACATGGAAAACACTCGGAACAAAAAAAGATGGAGTGGAAAGAATACCACAACTAGCAACAGGAAGAGATGTGCCATCGGCAGTAAGAACATTGACAGGCGAATCAAGAGGTCGGAGAGAAGACAACACGGAAGAATCAGAAGACATATGAAAAGAGGCTCCAGAATCCAAAACCCACGAAGATGTACCTGACTGTGTAGATGCCTGTGATGGTGAGGAGGCGGATGCGGTCACAGCAGCAGCAGAGCCAGTCGATGAGGAGCCTGAGGAAGCAAGGAGACGCTTGACGCGAACAATGTCCTGGTCAGTGAGTAACGGAGTCGAGGAAGACACAGGAGGCCCGCTGGAGGAGGAGCGCCTCTGGTCTCGCTTCTTTTGGCGACAATCAGACTCTGGGTGACCTTGCCGGGAGCAGTAACCACAGACGGTGTCACGGCGCGACGTGCCCTTCTCAGCATAAGAAGGACGACTCACCCCCCCTGGAGGAGTAGGCAGGAGCGGCGGAGCAGTGAGGCGAGCAGACGACACAGGAGCCCGGGCAACCAATACTGACGGAACCAGAAGCAACCCAGAAGCACCTCCGAGATAGGGACACGACCACGAGCAAGCAAGTGAGCACGCCTGGGCTCAAACTCAGAGCAGAGACGAGATAAGAACTCGTGAACCCGCTGAAACTCCAAATCGGACCGTGTAGTCTGACAGCAACGGCAAGTTCCACAAACGACTGTCCGAAGAGAGTCCAGCTGACGCCAGATGGCAGAGCACTGGGAATAGAACTCATCAACAGAGGAATCACCTTGCTGAAGAGCATGCTCCTGACGCACCACAGAGAGGTATAAAGCATCGCCAGAGGGCTGATAGCGCTGACAAAGGTAGGACCACATCGCTGCAACAGTGCCAAGGGCCATGAACTCCGAAGCAAACTGAGGGAGGACACTGGCAGTGAGAACCGCAGCAGCTCAAGCATCATCATTGCACCACTGAGTGTAAGCAGACAGATCATCCCGGTAGATTGAAAGGGCATCAGAATAAGCGGATACCTGCTGATCATAGGCATCAACTGCAGCATCATCAAGGGCCTTGGCTGCATCCCGATCATCCTGAGAAGCATCCGGAGCAAGTACCGATGGTACCAGTGGAACAGGAGCCACCGGAGCAACAGGGCAGGGCGGACAGGGTACCTCGACAGAGAGAACACCCCACAGGAGGAGCCCGCGCATATGGATACGCATGAATCCCACAAACTCAGCATAATTCGTGCCATCGAAGATTACCGAGCACCGAGGAACAGCCACATAGCCAGATGAAGACATGCTGATTCTCTCTCTTCTTTCTTCTTCTTTTTTTTTGAACTCAGGAGGCCCGAACGGAATCTGGACGGGGGAGGCCCGAACCGCTCACGAGGAGGAAGTCAACGAGCGGGGGGGTCGGGAGCGACGCAAACCTCGCTAGGCAGAGTACAGCGGGTCCGAGATGCATGGCCCGTCCGCGGGCAGGCGAGGGAAGCCGGACCAGCGGCTCGAATCAGCCAGCGGCCGCTCGCGCTCGCGCCCTGCGCGTAGGGAAGCAGCTGCTTCCGTAGCAGGAGCAGCAGCAGGTGCCCCGAGCGTAGCCGCCAAGCGGAGCAGAGAAGAGGCAAGGGGCGGCCCGGTAGGGCAGCGGAGCCAGCGAGGAGGACCGGGGCGCCCGGATCCGCGGCAAGGAGAGCCGGGACGGATGGATCCGCGGCGAGGAGAGCCGAATCTGGCAGTGGGTGGAGCGGGAGGAGAGCTAGCACGGAGTTGCAGCATGCGGGAGTGAGGGGAACCTAACATCTGATACCATGTTGGATAATGAGCAACTATCATTTCCTGAGGGCCAAAGGCCATTACATATACATGTGTGTCAAAGTGCAGAAAACCCCTTATACAACGGGGATATACCGAAAAGGGACTATACACATCTAACACCCCTCAGAAGAAAAAGGAGAATAAAAGAGAGATTCGCTTATGACAGGATATTATGTGCCATCAAATTACTACTAGAAAGCAACCAGGACATAATTCAACTGGTGTTACTAAATATGATGCCATTATGATTTTTTAAAACGGAATACCAGTCAACAAAAAAACAAGTTTAAAAGCCATTGCATGTGTTCGCAGGCATGTTTCTTCAACTGACACTTCTAACAATTTGATTAGGGAAAAGGGCACCATTCCAAGACGAAGAATTGCATTGCAACCATTCAACTAACAGTGGCTGCAGTTCTGCAGAATCATGCACACTTTTGGATGGTTTGGTTTACATGATCTTGGCATGACACGTGCCAAAGATAGGTACAGCAGTGTAACCTCTCTAATGGTAAGGGGTATTCAAAGGATCATAAAGCAAAAAGGGTAAAAAGAATAGATATTACTAGAGAAGCATAATACAGGCCTAAAAAAATAAATCCAATTCAGCTTACAGGGCGTGTAGTAGTAGAACTGGTTGGCGCTCTCAGTATTCATACGGTTCAGCACAGACCTGTAAATGTATAAATCTGAGATTTAATAATCGTAACTAGTGGTAATGGAAATATAGCACATCATTCAATGAGAATGAAAATGCCTGGCAACAGAAATAAATATGTACCTAAAGCATGAAATTCTGAAAGCATAAATTCATAAAACTCACCTCCGCTGGGTGCAACAGAGAGTGAAGATTTTTGTTTTCAAACTTCCAATCCTGCCAAACCTGTAGGCAAAGCAATAGCAAGGTGAGCAAAATAAGTTACAAAGTAGAGGAAAAAAGCAGGGATATAAACAATGAAAAGAAAAGGCAACAAATATTGCTCGATATAAGTAACGCAACAGCACCGGTCCTGAAGAGGAATATAAGGCACCCATGACATCTTCATCTCTTCCATTGGTACTATTTCTTCTTTTCCCGTTCGAACAAAATTTATGGCAATCTTATCTGATGGAGGAAAAGGACAGTCAACCTGCAAAATTGAACATGTCAACTGCTAAACAAGATAGACCATCCAGATCATAGGCCTTAAACAAGTATTTGATCAAATTAACAAATATGACAAAATATTTGATACTGCATGTTAGGGTAAAAAACATCAGTGAAGAGCAAAACAAGGTCACCAGCCAAATAATTTTTCACAAGTTAACAGGAAATCTTAGAGAGAGAAAACATAATCATAACAGAACAACAGCAATAGAAGGAAATAAATGCTCCTACCAAGAAAATTCTCTTGGTAACATCAACTGACAAAATAAATTAAGTTTCTTACTCCTTTTATTTTCAAAAGCTTGTAGCAACTTCCTAAACTTAAAAGCTGATACATAAATTTTCATCTTGTGCAATTAATAATTCTACATAAAAACGTAAACAATAACATACTAAAGATGGTATGTTTTTAAGTAATGCAAAAGGTATAAACAGAACTGCTGATTTGTTTATCTGATGTAGACATGAGCTAAAGGTTCAGCTCAATATGTACAACTGCAAGACCATTCTCCGCTGTACATTTTTTTCCTACTAATATGTTTTGCTTTGAAATACAAAATGTAAATATAATGGTGTTATAGATGCTGGGCCAAGAGAGTGGATAAGAGCTTACAGCAAGTACAACAGGAACAACTACAATCTTCAATTCACCATTAACATTCAATTGTTGTGCTGCACGCCAAGAGGAGCCAATTTGACTTGTATGGAATAATATTCAACAGGTGTAAAACTAGAATGGAAATAAGAAGATGGCAGAGACTAAATCCACTTTACATAGAATATATAAAGTGATACACAAATACAATTGTTGAATCTCACTAAACCAGACTAATAGCACTTAAAACAAACATCAGTAAATTTATGGCCAGATAACCCTACTTTTCTACAGATTACGAAACATTACCAACATTATAAAACATGTATCAAGGATCAACGGTAGCAAAATTAACTTTAGAAACAGATTACTGAAATATTATCAAAATTATAAAACATGTATCAAGGATCAACGGTAGCAAAATCAACTTTAGAAACAGCTTAGTGCCAAGTATACTTAGTTACTTACGCTCGGTGCTTCCAAACAAGTAAACCGTCTTCCCATATAGTTTCCCCCCTTCCTCTAGTGTTTTCTGCATATCAACAACAACCACATATCACTGTATGCTGAAGTTAAACATTCAAAAAGGGGGTAGATCTTACAAGATTAAGTTTGACTATCATACCTCTAAATTTTCGAAGTTCCAATTGAATTCCTTTATCATATCAATGTTTTCCCACTGCAGATGACAAGCCAAGTTCTATAAGTTTTTCAAGGCAAGGAAATGCGTACAGCTTAAGCTATATAATATGTCCAAGTGCGCACGACTAACATACACAATACGAAAAAAGGGGATGGGAACAAAACCTCAGTCCCAACAGGAAAAGCAGACCACCACAGATCCTCCTGAACAGAGTGACAAACCATTAGTCAAAACACACATTAATCAAAAATAGCAAGGCCATCATACAAGATCACAATTATAATCATAATGACAACTTCCGAAAACAGTCATAATGGTTGCTTCCAATAGGAAGAAACTGCTGTCATAAAAAGAAGAAAAAAACCCTGCAAATAGAACATGGCACCTGTTGTGCAATAATGAATATGTTCTGAGTCAGCATGCCAGAAACATGTTGCTGGCTCATCATCTTCCAATACTACCATAAACCTAGTGCTAATCTGGCATGCTCCTCGACTGACATAGCAATTGCTAGCACCAGACTTGGAAAAAGGTTGACCAGCAGAACGCACACGGGCTTACAAAAATTTCATCAGTCACGAATTCTCTAATACCACGGGGTAGAGCATTCCAGTTTCCTTTTTGCATGAGAACAAACTAATAGTCAAACCAAGTGTCAATAACATACTCATATAAGCAGTGAGATGCGCATTTGAGCATCACTAGCAAAAGAACGGAACCAACATCCCCCATTTTTTTTTACCAAAAATCCCAGCGATGCGAGCACCAATCGAAAGTGAAGCTGTCCGCGAGCTAATCAGATAAGGACCAACGCTCCCTACTTGGGGATACCAATTATCGAAACGCAAAGGAAGTCTGTCGGTGTCAGTCGATTGAAAAATAGTTTTTCTCTTAACCAACGCCTATAACCATTAGACACTGATCCAACAGTCCATCCAGACCTGGATCTCCTTTCTCTATTTCTTCTTCCTGCTTTCATCTTCACATGCGATACACCCCATCGCGCCCGAACTGCTAACGCCCAATGCGGAGCCCCTGCCGCCACCACCTCCCCTCGGCTCCATTCAGGGCCAGACGCCCTTGCCGCCTCCGCCGGCCACTGGGGTTCCTCCACTGCCCGGCTCCGGCGGCGCCTCCACCGCCGGCCGGCGAGCCTCCATGAGCCCCTTCTAGGCCTGCAAGTCACAGGTAACTTGCAACCCCAGATCCCCTAATTCCTAGCCCCAAATCCCATTTATTTTTGTAATACTCCAGGGTTTAGGGTTTAGGTGATTGACGTGACAACCAGATTCCTCTTCGGGGGGAAGTGCTCCATGTCGACCTTGGGCTTGGGCAGCACCTTGACGCGCTACTCCGCCCCAGAGGATCTGCCTCCTTCGCCGCCGCCTCCTGCTTGCTCGAATCAGTGGCCGCCGTGCGCCCCCGGCTCTCGGTTGGGGTTGGCGTCTGGATGAGCCGAGGGTGTGTATAATCGAGACATCTCTTATCGGGGGCTTTCGGCGCCGGGGGACCGGCCCACGTCGCCCGAATTGGGTGTCCGTCCGTCCGTGCCACAGGCGTGCAGCTTTGCAAGAAGGCCCTCCGTCTTTCCGATATCGGATATAGGTCTACTCCGGTCCTTCCGCTAATGCAAACAAGGCCGCCTGCGGCGCCGGTGGCTTCTCCCGACCCCGACTCCAGTCCGCGACCGCCCACGACACAGGCCCGCACGCTCCCCCCGCCGCGTCTCCTCAGTCTTTGCCGGGGGCGGCGGCTGCGGCTAGGGCTGGAGCTGGGGTATCCATCGTCGGAGACCTCAGGAGCGTCGTCGCCTCGCAGATGGAGGACCTCACTTGTTGAAATTTGGGAACAATTTTGTAAATTTACGAACACTTTTTGGTTTGACATTTTCAAATTTGGGAAAAAAATGGGAACAAAGTTTCAAATTCGCAAACATTTTTTGAATGATGTGAACGTTTAAAAAATTCATGATTGCTTTTGAATTTGCAGACATTTTTTCCAAATTCATAAACATTTTTTGAATACTCAAACATGTTTTTTGAAATCATGAACATTTTCTGATTGCCAGAATATTCTTTTCGAAATTGTGAACATTTTTGGAATATGCGAACATTTTTCAAATTATGAATATTTTTCGGATCCACGAATATTTTATGATTTCCCAAACATTTTCTAAAATAATTAATATGTTTGATTTGACGTGTATTACATGATTTCTTGAATTCACAATTTGTTTGAAATTTAGAACTTTTTTGAAATCCCGAATTATTTTGAAGATGTAAAAACAAATACCGAAAGGAAAAACATATGAAAAAACAGGGGTGTCCCGCCCTGCACATGGGCTGGCTCAAAGCACGTGCGGGGAGGAGCGGGAGGTGCGCATCTGTGCTATTCAGCTCGTAGGTCGGTGAACTCATTTGTTCTCATTAAGCCCACACAGCCCATTAAGCCGAACACAACTCGTTTGTCTGGACCACAACCCTACACCCAAACCAAGCCCACGCTCGCCGAGTTGCTTGTGTCTCCGCCGCCGACGACGACGAGCACACCCGCAGGCGCAGATCTGAGATTGAGTGAGTGTGTGAGAGAGAAATCGGTGGAGATGGCCGGGAGGCTGACTGCGATGGGATCCCGCATCATGGGCGGCCACGGCGCAGCCGCGCGCGCCGTGGCCTCCGCCCTCCGCAACCGCGCCGGCATGGGCCTCCCCGCCGGCAGGCACATCGTCCCCGACAAGCCCGTAAGCTAGGAGACGCCCCTCCCCACGCCTCCCCCGCTCTCTATTTGTTTGTGTGATCTCCATCTCTGATCTGTTCCATTTCGGATTGGGGATTTTTGCGTCGCAGCTGCCTGTGAACGACGAGCTGGTGTGGGACAATGGCACACCCTTCCCTGAGCCCTGCGTCGACCGCCTGGCGCCGCACATCGGCAAGGTATGCTGATCCGACCCCCTCCCCCTCCCTACTGCTGCAATACACAAGACCGCATCCACTGCAATTTGGTTCGTTGCACCGCATCAAATGCGTCTATATCGGTTTGATTTTGATGTGTTTTGGTTGGACAGTACGAGGCTCTGGCGTGGCTGTGTGGAGGTCTGAGCTTCTTCGCCGCTCTCGGCCTGGCCGCCGTTGTGAATGACAAGGCCTCCAAGATGCCATATGTGAGTTTCCAGTGCCACTGCTTCTACTGCCTTGTGATTTTACAACCCCCATTGTTTGTTTAGAGACCATCCTTGTAGTGTTTATCTGTTTGGGCTATGATTTAAAGGAGACTTTCCTGCAAAAAAGTACACCTCTGTTCCTAAATATAAGACATTTTGGCAGTTCAATTTAAACTGCCAAAACGTCTTATATTTATAAACAGAGGTAGTAAAAGATTTAGCGGAGACTTGCCTTATGCAACTGTACAAAAAATGTTGTTGCTAAGATGGTACGACTGTTGGGTCATTGTGAGAGCGTTCCAATTGTTAATTTTAGGCTAGAGTTGCAATTGTTATGAATTGATGTAAATTTGCACAATTTACCTAAACTAGACCTGAAAGAGGGTGCAAACCCTGTCAATGGAATTAACTGCAAATAGAGTACATTTTGGCGTTTTGTTGTTGTTGCATCTAGGCTCGTAGATGGGAGGATTCTTGTACTGTATGATCATCAACATATTTTCCTTGTGGTTTATTGGTTGTGATTTGTGTTCTAGCTGTCTAGTGCATGATCTAAATTGTTTCTTGTTAGAAGTTTATATTCTGAGAGAATTAAAGACTGCAACTAGAAATTGATTAATTGAATTGGAACCAAGTTAATTGACCTCAGTTTGTGCAAAATATGTTCTCCCTTGTTCCTTGAAACAAATAAAATATAGAGAGCTTCCTTGATTTCTTATGTATCTATGGGGGCATTCGTTGTGGGTATTCTTTTCTTATCAAATGAACTGCAATTAATCATCTAACTCTCTGGATAACAAATGTAAATATCTGCCACCTCATTGCTTAGCAAGTTGTTTTACTGCCTTCATTCAACTGGCACTGCTGGCTTAAATTTCTCATGGATGATCTCACTTTAGGAAAACGTCCACATTAGTACATTACAATCTCAAACTATTGGCTGTGCTCATGTACCCACTTAAACAATTTTTGGGCTCATTCAGTAACTCGCTGATTAATTTGAGATCCACTTAACCCCCTAACTAGACTCAGTGTTTCCCAAACAGGGGTTTCATAATCTTGGTTTGACACGTAGGCATGTCACATGTCACGCCATCATCAGCCACAACTCCTTTCCTCCATTTGGTTGATTTAAGCGGAAAATTTTCAAGGAAACAGAGTGCAGTGACGCGGCGGAGGGGTAGGAATTAAGGTTCCAGTGGTTGCTAGAGATATCGCGGGGCATCCAAGTACTAGCTACCTTGGAGACGTGGCAGTCAGGGTGTCCTAGTGATAGGATCCATCAAGCAGGATGGTCGTGTCCTTGGCCTTGAACGGCAGACGGAAGTGGCGCATATTTTCTCACCACATCATTTCCAGGAGCTCCTATATGATACCCTTCCTGACCTTCTGGAAGAAAGAACCCCAGTATGCGGGATTGCAGGTGCCCGGTGATCGCAGCCGCTCAGGACGCTATCTCCTCCGCAGCCCCGCCATTCTTTGTCAGGCACCTGAAATTGATCACTGGGAGCTCGCACTCTGACACGTGCAGAGGCTGACTGGCCAACAACACTGTCATGCACATGTGCTTGTTCTGTCAGATCACTGTGGCAGAGCAGCACTGCAACAACGCCTAGTAGCTGTCCGCTAGCGGCTGGTTAGCTAGCTCCAAAGCTAGATGTTCGAATTCACTACGGCGAGCTGTAAATACATCCTAGCTGTGAGCATCATTGTTTATAAGGTGTTAAGGCGAGCACCAACCGCCCTGACGCTTAAGCGCCCAAAGTGGGCATAATTGCAAGACACTGCCAGGGCGCCTTGCCGCCTAAGCGTCCGCCTTATAAACAATGGTTAGCATATCGTGTCCTTGGGCTAATCAAAGTGAGCTGTGCCTATTCTGGATGCAAGGAAGCTACAAAGAGCGCCCGGTGTGCTTGAGTGTCGTTTTGTGGTGCAAACCTTGCCATGTCATCACCAATCCTGGTATAGGGGGTTAAGTAGGCCTCAGATTCTTCATCAGGTGTTTTATTGGGCCTAGAAATTGTTTTGGGTGCATTCAATTTTTTTTAAAGCCTTTTATCCCAAACAAGTTGGGGTAGGCTAGATATGAAACCCTTTCACGAGGACTTCCCAGGAGGTCACCCATCCTAGTACTACTCTCGCCCAAATGGGTTTCATACCCAAAAGACTGGTTACTTTTTACGTTGGCTCGCCAAGCCTATCACAACCCTTAGATATGAAACCCTTTCACGAGGACTTCCCAGGAGGTCACCCATCCTAGTACTACACTCGCTCAAATGGGTTTCATACCTATGGGACTGGCTAGTTTTTACGTTGGCTCGCCAAGCCTATCACAACCCTCCTTGTTTACCCGGGCTTGGGACCGGCTATGCCTAGAAGACATAGGCGGAGTTTTTGGGTGCATTCAATAGTTTAGATATTTACTTCCTTAGAGAGCAGTTAGAGCATCTCTAGCAGACCTCGCAAAATCCTGACCCGCAAAACGCGTTTGCAGTTCGACGAAGATCTCGTTTGCTGGTCGAAAACGTGTGCAGCCGAACAGAAACCGTATATGGAACTGCATAATTTGAAAAAAAAGTTTTGCGGGAGAAATTGCAACCGTAGTAGTTCATCACGTACTACATATACTACATGATCAAACACTAATTCGTTACAAACACTAGTTCATACTACATACTACATTCATTACTAGTACTAGAGGCGTGGGGATCTCACGGCGGCGAGCTCGCGGTCATGGACGACGCGGTGGAGGAGCTCAATCCTCCTCGTCGGAGCTGCCGAGGTCGATGTACTTCTCCTTCTGCTCCTTGCGGATGCGTCGCAACTTGTCGTCCTTCTCCTTGGCGGCAAGGTTCGCCGCGACCGCCTGCTGAAACACGAGGTCTTCGAGCTCCTCATGGTGGCGCCGACGCTCCTCCTCCTCGCGCAAGCTGCGTTCGGCAATGGCGGCCGCGACCGCGTCGACATCGGCGACGAAGTCCTCGGGCCCGACGACGCCGCGGCGCACGATCTCCTCGGGCTCTTGCTTGACGGCGACGACCTCGATCTCCTTCGGCTCCTCCGACCACTCCCTCTTCACAGGGAGAAGGTTCGCGCCGGAAGAGGAAGATCTCGCGGCGTGGGAGGATCTTGCGGCGGAGGCGGCGGAGGAGGGC